AAAAAAGTTTTTCTTACCAGTAAACATATCGAAGTGTTAATAAAAGTTTTAAATTTCCTTAGTACAAAGTTCCTTAGTAGATTTACAAAAACGTCCAATTTCCATAATTTGTAAAATTACTTTGAAATTTCATAGTGAATTTACAAATTCGTCCAATTTACATCATTTGTAAATATACTACAAAATTAAATTTCATAGTAATTTTTCAAATTAAAAAAATTGACGTTTTTGTAACTTTACTATGAATCTGCGTAGTAATTTTACAAACACGTAGACTTCAAATATATTTGTAAATTTACTACGAAAATTCATAGTAATTCTACAAATGATAAATATAGTAACCATTACTACAAATGATCCAACAAACAACATGTGTACAAATGCCGCTGTCACTGGACACACTGTCACTGAACTTATGGTGCGCACTGCGCATAACAATGCCACACATGACATAAATGATGTTTGACAATTGAACGTTTTTGAACGTGTATTGAACGTTGTCGAGCGCGCCATCATTTGAGATTTTTTTTTAAAATAAACTTTTTTGGTGTGACTACAAATATAGAGTTTCACAGTGTATATATACAGTAGTATATGTTGGAGTGTATCAATTTTTAAAAAGTTAAGTATATTTTTGAATAAACTATGCCAAAAGGTCCTAAGAAGGTGTTTTTTTGCAAAAAAAAAAATCAAAACTGAAATCGCCGAAATTTTGAACTTTTGTATTTGAAGAAAAACTTGACTTTACTCTCAATTTTAATTTTTTTTTGCTTAAATCATCAGAATAGAACGTACTAAAATAACACATTTACATATTTCCAGCTCTTTATAGAATAAAGTGGTCAAAACTCTACCGGATCTGCGCTTTTCATGAATTTTACTCAATTTGTGACATTGTAGCAAGATGTACATGTAATTTTTGATGGATTATGCTTTTAAAATTATTCTGCTCTCCAATTCGTTAGAGCAAAATAGTTTTTCACGCCAGAATATCCTTCCAAAATGGGAATATCAATATATATGCATTTTTACTTTTCCGCACACACCTAGTGTGTAAGGGGAAAGAATTGCAATGGGTCAAAATTTATGACACCTCAAAAACATGTTTTCTGGACGTTTCTGAGGTCAAAGAACCCGTATCAAGCCGTTTTGAGCATGGTTGTTGTGGGTCTGTTCCACGTTATACGTTGTATTCGTGATCAGGGGATCCATAGCCAAGGTTATTACCCTCGCTATTGAAATGTTTGAAAAATGCTACACAATTTCTCAGTTGTGTGAAATTATTTTTTTTACTAATTTCTCAGTTTTAAAAAATTCATTGCGTAATTGTATTTGGTCTGGGGTCGAACATTTTTGGAAGGCCCTTTTTGAGTTTTTCATCAATCGGACATTTTTCTGGCCGATATTCAACGATTTATACGTCATTGAAAAGGTAAGAGACTCACCTTTCCGGATTCGAAAATGTTCAAATATGTCCGGCGTGACATTTTCGGCGCAAAATGACCATGACTTTTTCACGTGATCTACATTTTAGGAAATTTACGTACATAGAAAAAATGAAAAAACTGGGCGTTTGTTGGGGACCAAATATGTCATGATTACTGGAAATATTCTGTTCGTTCATCTACATACAAAATGGTCACTGAAAATTTATATCAGAACATTTTCAGATTTACAGTATTGCGCCAGAATGGGAACTTCGGAAGAAGTATTTTGTATTTCTAATACTAACTCAAGGTACAAACAAACGCGAACAAAACTGTAAAAAATCATATTTACACATTATTATATTATTTATTTAAACAAACAAACATTGTTTTGATTTACCTTTTTTTGAAGATATGAATATATTCCGGACACTCGAACGTATCACAGCGGACGGCAGTTCGCGCGAGTGACGAAATTACAGGATACACCAAACGTGTTCAGAGTTCAGTCGAAAGAACATGGCGAATATATCATTTTCTACGAACGAACGAACAATCATAAAAAAGAACTACGTCAGACGATTCGCTCGTTGAAAGTGGACTACAAAGGTGTCACTTTCGAGATTACATTAATCGAATCATTTTTTAAATAATTTCGAATATATGGTATTTTGAAGTTTACTATACGAAAATAAATACAAATAGATTTTTTGATAATTGCATTATAATCGAATAAAACTGAACAAGTTTAAAATTTTAATGTTGCGAAGACTATTTTGTCATATATTAGGTTATCACTTCCTGGTTATGTTAATATCTAAATAAAAATAACAATATTAATATATTCGAGATTCTTTTTGATCTATTGTATAAATCTGAATATGTATATGAATAAAATGTTATGTCTATTCATTGTACAATAGATTTTTTTATTTGGTCATTAAGTCGTTTATTTCTTATTGTTCAATAAAATTCAAGTGTTCTACTCAGTAGCTACTCTAAAAAGTTAACCATTCACTTATGAATTAAATTGAATAATAGACTAGTCGATTCCGAAAAATTAAAGTTAAATTAAAATAAAGTTAATTAAAAGTTGGTCGATAGTTACTTATGAGTCTTGTTTACAACATTGCTGTAGTGAACTACTTGGATATAAAGCCATTTTTCGTTGATTTTTTTTTCATTAAATGTCTACACTTTTAATATTAAACTCATTTTGAAACTCTCCGTTTTTAATGAATTCTATGATCAAAATTGTTACTACTTCGAAATAGGTTCGTTTTTTGTTGTGATTTCTTTAGAATGTACAGTCATCAACATTTCTACGTGCACTATTGACATTGGTTGGCAAGATTGCTTTTGTTCCAATGTAGTAGTCATTCAATTGTATGTGCCAACGAACAAATTTTTTTTATACGAACGAACTTTTTTTTCTACGAACGCGTTCGCTGACACCTCTAGTTGGCAGAACTTCTATCATTTTCCAGCATTTATTTTAAACGTCCGAAGCGCACGTAGTGGAGTGAAAAATTTCAATGATTTTTCGTGAAGTAATTTTTTTTTGTAGGTTTGTTTTAATATCTTTTTCTTCCACAAATCCGTATGTAATGAAACCGACGACAATTTTTGAATTTTCATTATTTTCTCTTTATTGTTTCATGATTTATGAGAAAAAATATTTGAAATACGATGGCATTTTTACAAGACTAATTACATAATTCTATTCTTCTTAGTATCAAGATCAACATCAAGAAACCTTTTGGCTCTATAATTTGATGCCAAAACTGGCAAGAGATTTTTCATTTTTTATGTTTAAAAACGAAAAGTTTTATTATTATGAACAACATGAAAATATCGGAAAAATTGATAAAGCTTTAGATCGTGATTAGATTATGGTGGGACAGTGCATGGAATAGGAAAAAAAGTTTCGATTTCACATTTGTGTTTTTGGATTAGTGGAATAGCTGGATTAGTAATTTATATAGTGGATTCGGAATTTATTCTTGGTGTCTCCCCCCTAGATAACTTGCCGATCTTATGAAATTATTTTCCAATGGTATCCTTCGAAACTGCGATGTATTCAACAAACTTAATTGATTAAAATTAATTATAAATGAAAACATTCTTTATTCCTAAGCAATATGAAATTATTATTTATTATTATTATAAGGCTACAAATTTCAATTCGTTCTGTTCATTAAATAGTTCTAGGTTCATGTGCTTTCACATATTCTTTAATACGATTCGATATACAGGGTGGCGCATATAATAGGGCCACTCTTGGGGGGTGGGAATTTTGAAAAATCCTTTGGGGGGTATGTTGGGGGTAAAAAATAAAAATTTTCTATCTGAGCAGAATTTTGAATTTTTCCCCAGGGGGGTGGGGGTGCCCCAAATTTTTCAAAAGTTCATCGGATCAAAAAATAATGTACTACAAAGTTGTTCAGAATGACGATAGAAATTTTTTAGGACCCCCGCCCTCCAAGTCCCTCCACCCCTTAAAAGGGTCGGGGGGTCAAAAACCCCCAAAATGTGATTTTTTGACCTGAAACACAAAAATTCGGAATCAGCATGAAAAATTACCTTAGAATCGATATTTTTCTCATTCACGTTTTTTCACAAATTTTGAACCAAAAAAGTGTAAAATTGACTTTGTAAGATTTGAGAGGTCTGCTCAGATAGAAATTTTTTATTTTTTTCCCCCAACATACCCCCCAAAGGGTTTTTCAAAATTCCCACCCCCTAAGAGTGGCCCTATTATATGCGCCACCTGTATATACATGTATGCAGATTTTGTTACTTTGGAATAATCCAAAGTGGCATTAGATCCTTTGGAGTGTGCATTAGATCCTTATTTTGTGGATCTTTTAACAATAATGTCCTTATATTTTGAATGCTAGTTACTTTCTTATATATTTCTGAAATTCCATCTTCATTAAAAGGAACTTATGATAACCTCTAAGTTCGCGAAAAATTATAATTGTATAGCAATCTCTTTTAAAACACATGTTTTTTTTTGGATATTTGTTATCATTATCATCATATATTTTCAAGAACGGTCAATCTTCGATCACAGTAGCTGACAAAAGATTTCGTAGTTTTTTGTTCATCACAAAAAAAATGAACAAATCATAAAGTAGTAAAGATTAAAAACTAACACTTACACACGAGTAACGCGAATTCGTTTCTTTGAATATTTGTTATTTTGTTCTGACGTTGAAGACGCTGTGCTCGAAGATTGCCGTCTAAGCTCCGTTCAGCTGTATGTTCGATTTGACGTGGGTATTGAGCTATTGGCCGTTGTTTCACTACTATTGCTAAATGATGTATTTGAGGCGCTCGTTACAATTCTACTATCATTTATACTGTTATTGTAAGTGTTATTGCTCGCGTTATGTGTAATGTTTGTTTGATTTGTAAAAATTACAGTGGTATTGAGACCTGTTGTTGTTGCCGGTGTTATGCATACAGAGCTAGTACTATTAGTTGGAACATTGGTTTCTGGCACTAAATGAGGTGTTCGACTTGATATTGGCGGTAAAATTGGACTTGATGGCCACTGATATGAGGGATTGGATGTTGTCACTGCTGCTGGCACACTTCTTTAAAACACAATCCATTCCAATAACATTTTTGACGCATTAGGTATGTAAAATAAAAGTAAAAAAACGACATTAAATACTCAGTTTGAATCAATTTTTATGAAAATTTATACGGAAATATTGATAAAAATATTGGTGTTAAATGAAAAACAAACTATTCCAGAGGTATCAACATATCTTGATATACATATACATCTTTTTCCGCAGCAAAATATATTACCAGCAGAATCATTTAATAATAAATGGAGTGGAATTTTTTAAATTTTGTTTGCCTTTGTTTGAAAAAACTTAGAAATCATTTATTTCAACGACGTGTATTTCTAGGATGATTTCTCATTTTTACTAATTATTTTGTAATTCTCTTTCAAGTATGCACTCTTTGTGAAGTTTATATTCTGATTTTTTGTCATTTTAAATGTCTAACTTTTTCACTAATTATCATGAATATTTGCTATCGTTTCTGTTATAATAAGCCAGTGTGTATGTTCGATTCACGCTACTAATTCCGCATATTTCTTGCTAATATACTAATATTTCGTGTTTGCTTCTTATTGTCAAGGTACACAAAAAACAATGATCATGACTAATCTTAGCTTACAAACAGTAGAATTGAGAAAAAAACAGAAACATAAAGATTCTTGTTCAACAAGAAGAAAGAAATTTTCGTCTGTTTTTTTATATTCTTTCTTAAATGTCATTGATTTTATATTACATAAAGAAACAGAGTCGAAGCGTACTGGCTGCAACATTAATCTTTGAAAATGTCTTTCATAGTTTCCATTTTTTACCATTTGGCCGTCCTTGCAGTGTGACATTCAATGTTATTAATAGGGACGGAGCTGTCTACTATTTCTCCTAATATGTATAGATATTCTCTAATTTACTTAAATTCTTATTTCGTGAATCACTCCTTGGGTGTATAGTTCATAAATAATAATTTGAAAAAGTAAATCATCGAAAACTGATTTTGTTTTAAAAAAACTACTGGTCTTTGTGGAAGTCAATTATTATAGATAAATCTAAAATATAAGCATTGATAAAATCATTTTGATAAAATCATATCAAAATATATGATCCGCTTAGAATAAAAGTAGATAATAATTTAAAAAAAAATCTCAAAAAAAAAGAAAAAAAAAATCTCAAATAATGTTATGAAAATAATACTCAATCAAGGAAAAAAGTGAAAATAAAAGTCGATCAAGAAAAAAATTGAAAATAAAAGTCAAACACCATTTATGATCGATTTTTATTTTCACTTTTTTCTTGATTGAGTATGAACTTTTCCGCACTGTGATCCACAACATGTATTTATTACGTATCTTTTACCGTAAATATGAATTCATGAGAAAACTGAATCTGATATAAGTTTTGCGATACCATTAACTTTTGATAGACTTTTCAATGCCTGTATGATATCGTAATGATGTGAAAATTTGCAGATTCGTTTTTGAGCAAAAAATCCAAAATTTTGTTCGGGAGGTACCCTTTATATGCATTGAAATGTCTTCAAACTCTCAGAATGTTATTTTTGTGTGATAATAATAACCTGTGCAAAGTTTCAGCTCATTGCGATATCATACACGCATGGCTTTCATACAAAAATCCAAAATTTTTGAAATTTTTGTATGAAAAGTGTGTCGAAAATCATTTGTATCAGAATCGAAGTCAGATTTTGAATTACTTCTCTTGTTTGAAAGTTAACGTGTTAACAAATTTTTGCGTACAGGGTACCACGCACATACATTCGGACATCGAAAAAACGACTGATTCGTGTTCCCTGGCTCCTAAAACACCCAGAAAACATGTTTTTTGAGGGTGTTAATTTTTCGACCGATTCCAATACTTAACCTTACACTAGGTGTGTGCGGAAAAGTAAAACACTTCTTTCGAAGTTCCCAGTGTGACGCAATACTATAAATCTGAAAATGATCTGATATAAATTTTCAGTGACGCGTTCACTCAAATATGTACAAAATTTTATTATTGCGTCGCCTCTTTCGCCGCAAAAAATATGGAAACGTAAATTCGAAAAGAATGGTTTCAAGCCGAAAAACCTAAAAAAATGAACTAATTTCTCAAAACGGTTACCACCATTGAATTCCCCCCCGGGTCCGAATTATGTAAAATCAGTTGTCAAAGTGAACAAACAAAGTAAAAACCTAGTATATTGTAGTTGATTACTAAGATATTAAATTATAGGTGGCCGCTTAAGTTCAAACTTTTCCCAATTTTCACCAAATAAAAGAATGTTCTCGTTTCAAAATATGCATATCGACTCAAAATTGAGTGCGCTTTCGATCTATGAAGAAAAAATCGAAGCAAGACATACATTTCTTCAAGATAAATGACGATTAACTTCGATTTTCATAGATTTTTCCCCATTTTTGAGGTCTAGTCATTCTGATATAACCCTTTCCGCTGGATTTTTTTCAAAATTTCTTTATTGCTTCATCAAGATGACCTTAATTACTTTCCAATAAGCTAAGAATGACGTGATTCTGTTAAAAAACACCCCGTATACCTGTGATCAAAAATGGCCAAAAATTGAAAATTTGCCGAAAATTTTTTTTACTTCGTAGTATTAAAAAAAAAAAAAAAAAAAACGAATTTTCTCAGATATGACACATACGCCAAATCATCACATATTTGGTCCCCAACAAACGCCCAGTTTTTTTATTTTTTCTATGTACGCAATTTTTTTTTAAATTGGGATTACGTGAAAAAAGTCATGGTCATTTTTCGCCGAAAATGCCACATAACACGCCACCTGGCGGACATTTTTGAAAATTTTTCCATTCTGACTTCGGATCCGGAAAGGTGAGTCTTTTACCTTTCCAACGACGTATAAATCATTATTGATTGATGAAAAACTCAAAAACGGCCTCCCAAAAATGTTCGACTCCAGACCAAAACCACTTACGCAACGAATTTTTTGAAACTGAGAAATTAGCAAAAACCCCTTTCCAAAAGTCAGCGGTATCAATTTTCATTTCTTTAACGTATGCTCCATATATTTCTAGAATTGGCAATATTTAGTGTTGTCCGATACAAACCATTGTCATATTCGTTAAGTTTAACATTTGGTAGCATATACGATCTCAGAACGTTCTGTCATACGCGCGGTATTTGTATTGCTTACGGTGACATCTAAATTGCGTCTCAACAAAAAAATGAATTTTATTCGTGAAAATTTTCGTGCGATAATTTACTACGGCCTTGGATTGGGTGTATCTCAACAACAGTGTTTTGATCAACTTCATTTGGTCTTTGGCGATGAAGCTCCATGCAAGGCCACTGTATATCACTGGTTTACTGAATTCAATCGTGGTCGTCATTCGCGCATCGACGAATTCCGTGAAGGTCGTCCAAAATCGGTTGTTGTTCCAGAAACTATCGATGCTGTCAGAAACATGATAAAGCAAGATCGTCATATCATATACCGTGAGATTGAGGCATCCTTGGGCATTAGTATGAGAAGCATACACACGATTTTGCATGAAAATTTGGCCGTAAAAAAGAACAGCGTTCCTTCGTCTTGGTGGTTTATCCAAAATAATTTAAATAAATACAATATGATTAAATTCTTGCATCAAGCAGTTGTGAAAGAGATTTTTTTTTTTTTGGCGTTTGCCATTTCAGCGGCCTTCGTGTTTTTCATACAAGCCTCCCATGTAAATAGTAAAAAATCGTTTAAAATGAAAAAAATTATTTTCATCAATTCTCAAATACTACTCAACTTTCTGTTATGAAATCAGAAAGAAAAAAATCGCATTCCATATCATCTAAATCACGATCTGGCACATAGAACCGGCATAAAACTCACAGAGAACAGCGACATCTGTTGCACGATAGCTCAACTATTTACGTTAACGCTAAAACAAACATAAATAGTAATAGAATGACAACTCGTGCTCCCTGATGATCTAGTCAGTGGTCCTGATGAAATACCAAATAAATTTATCAAGCATTGTTTGGTTTCATTGCAGGGGCAAATCACAACATTGTTAAAAGAATCTCTTGAAACATGCACTGTACCACAGATTTGGAGAACGTCTTTTGTCAGACCGGTTTACAAAAACGGTGACAGAAACAACGTTCAAAATTACCGTGGTGTCGCTCTTCAGTGTATAGTGTCAAAAATTCTAGATTCGATAGTCACGAACCATCTCAATCAATATCTAAAGAACATGGTACACGAAACTCAACATGGGTTCATCAAAAATAGGTCAACGATAACGAACTTGGCAGAATTTTCATCGAATACGATAATCAACATGGGAAAGGGACATCAAACAGACACCATATATTTGGACATCGTAAAGGCTTTTGATTCTGTGAATAAAAAATTACTAATTCAGAAACTAAACATCATGGGATTGAATACACAGCTATTAAAATGGATTCAATCGTATTTGTCTGGTCGTAGACAAATAGTAAAGATATGAGATACCAAATCTGACCCAATCGAAGTAACTTCTGGTACTGGTCAAGGTTATCCCGTTGGCGCAACTTTGTTTATCATGTTTGTGATTGATCTACCTTTCGTCGTGACCAAATCATGCATCCCCTCATTCGCTGATGATACCAAAATTTCAAAATGTATAAAATCAGAAGATGACTGCATTCATCTTCAAAGAGATTTAGATCGTGTAGCAAATTACTATGGGCGCAATTTATTAAAGTTAAACTTTAACAAAACAAAAATAATATCATATCATCGTGGATCACTGAAATATGAATATAATTACAACGTAGATGGCATGCAAATTGAAAGAGTTGAAGTAAAGAGGGACTTGGGAGTATTGCTTGATGTGAAGATGAATTTCGAATCGCACGTCGAGCATGCTGTTGCTAAGGCAAAATCAAGATTGGCTTGGTTAAAATTCAACAGCAGGGATTGTGCCCATGGACAATTAAACGCCTTTACTTTACATTTATATTACCAATTATTGAGTATGGATCTGAAATATGGAATCCACACTACGACAATATGTGCAAAAGAATAGAGTCAATACAAAAGCAATGGCCTGGAACGATTTTAGACTGCCTAAATACGAAAATAGACTACTATTTCTGCAAATGATTACTCTTGAGAAGAGACGCAAGATGGCGCAAGTGTCTTTTATTTTCAAAATTATTCACGGAGATTTAAAGTCAACTTATGTTTCAAACAGTATGAAATATTATGATTCAGTACATGATACTAGAGCAACACCACTATTTGATATACCAATTAGGAGAACTGATTACACAAAATATGAGCGATTGAATTAGATGCTTACGTCATTCAACGATTTTAATATCAAAAAAATGCCAAACAGTGATAAAAATTTAATTGATTTAGAAGTAAATTTATCAACGATCAAACTGAGAATACAAAATTATGATATACAAATAAACAATTTATAATTACAATTACATAAATGAAAATGTGCTTTTATGTTAATTTCGTTGGATATAAGATGTAAAAATTAAAATCGTTTTGCTTTACCTAAATTGATTAGTGACATTCTTTATATACTCTTGATGGATATTTGTCAATGCATCCATTTACTCCATTCACATTTTGATTGCTATATATATATTTTATCTTATCTATAGTGATCTATATGTGGTCACATGTCGAATAACTTCTCATCCGATGCGATATTTTTTTGTTATTTTTTATCTCGTAAATTATTCGTTGTTATAATTTGCCTAGATAATCTTTGTTTTTGAGTATACTTTCATCAGCAATAGTGTATCCTAAAACAAGTGAATAATTGAATTTTTCAAATGAAATAGATTAGAAACGCATAATCGTTTATTCAGAAAATGGTTTTGAAATAAAAGCAGAAAAATAAGGAACAATTTATAAGTGAACTAACATAAAGAATAGAAATAATATTGTGTTAACAATATTATTATTGCTAAAGCAAGAAATTGGTGGTAAGTAGATGTACAAATGCCTATTGCGCGAAAACTTAGAATTATCTGTGAGGTTTTTTAACTTTAGTGTTGAACTTATATCCGCTAATACGAGGGTTGCTCCATAATTTTTTTTAAAAACATATATAACACAGTTGTTTTTTGTCGAAAATGGTTTTATTGTTTTTCAAAATATTCCCCGAGATGATCGATACACTTTTGCATTCGATGAAACCATTTTTCATAGCATTCGTGCCACTCCGAAACTGATATCTCCAAAACGTGTGTTTTGAACGCTTCAACTGCTTCTTCTGGTGTCGAAAATCGTTGACCACGTAGTTTTTTCTTCACGCTTGGGAACAAAAAAAAGTCATTGGGTGCCAGGTCAGGACTGTACGGTGGATGACCCATCAGTTCGATGTTTTGACCGGTCAAAAATCGAGTAGTTTGAAAAGATGTGTGAGAGCTCGCATTATCGTGATAAAGAATTATTTTGCGGCGGTGGTTGTTTTTTCTTATTTCACCAAACACTTCGGGCAAACAAATGGTGGTATACCAATCAGAATTGACGGTCTTACGATCCTCTAGTGGAACGGTTGCCACATGACCACTTCTCCCGAAAAAACAGGCGACCATTCGCTTCGAAGTGCTTCTTGCTCGAACAACTTTCGTTGGGTTATCTTCATTTTGGAAGACCCATACAGTCGACTGCTGTTTCGTTTCGGGCTCATAGGCATATATCCACGATTCGTCACCAGTGACGATTTTATTAACGTCTTTTGAAGCACCACGATTGAATTTCTTGAGCATTTCTTTACACCAACTCACACGAGCCATTTTTTGTTCATCGGTCAATTTATGTGGGATCCAACGAGAGCAAATCTTTTTTACGGCTAAATGTTCATGCAAAATTGTATGTATGCTGTGGGATGAAATGCCCAAAGATGCCTCAATCTCACGGTAGGTCACATGACGATCTTCCATAATCAGTTTTCTGACAGCATCGATGTTTTGTGGCACAACAGCCGATTTTGGACGACCTGTATGAAACTCGTCTTTGAGCGAACTACGACCGCAACGGAATTCTCGGTACCAGTTATAAATTGTCTGAAGGGTTGGTGCTTCATTGCCAAAGGCCAAATGAAGTCGATCGAAACACTGTTGTTGAGATAATTTACTTCGAAAATCGTAGTAAATCATTTTACGAAAATCTTCACGTGTAAAATTCATTTTTTTGTTGAGTCGCAGTTTACCAGTCACTGTAAACAATACAAATAGCGTTCGTACGACAAAAGGTTCAGGGCACGAATACATACCAAAACATCAAACTTTACGGGCAACACTATAATTACCATTTTAAAAAAAATTATGGAGCAACCTACGTAATATAGAGTTACTATTTGTTTTATGTTCATTTTCCAAAGTAGAATAATGCACGAACTTCAATGCAAATAAAGCTTAAAAAAAATATTATTCAGGAAAACAAAACCTAAGAAATGTGCTTTATTAGCGTGCTGTTGGTGTATTGTATAAATTTTGAACTTTAAATAAACTTTTAACCAATAGGCTACCTGCCTATCAAAACATGCGCTAAATCGAAGTACTTTTTTAAAATACAATTACAGTTTCTAGTAAAACATACGTATAGAAAGTTTTTGCACTGAATTCAGACGTCCGCCGTTTGAACAAAAAACATACAATATTAAATTCGTTTTTATTGGTATAAATGTACGGCTGGTAATAAAAGCGACTTTAAGCAGAAAAAATCTTAAAAGTGTCTCATAATTTGTACAGGATTTACATAAGATGGAGACGGTTTAAAAAAAACTTAAAGTCACTTTTATTCTCAGCCGATCAAATCTAAATCGAATAGCACATTCACTTTACTATGAACAGGCTAAAGTCTTCAAAATCATGTTCTGGGCAACCGATTCGTCGATTTCTATCAACTTTCTCTCAAACCTTTCCACTAATTGTTGATCGAGTATTTTGGACATTCGCCTAAAACAGACGAGAAATAATTAATTTAGTGTCTTTTGTGAAGTTGAAAAGATGGTCCTTTTTCATGAAAATTTCGGATTCAGTTAAAAGGTAAAGTTTTATTTTTCCACGCACACTAAGTGTGTAAGGGGAAAGTATTGCAATTGGTCAAAATTTAAAACACCTCGAAAAAATGTTTTTGGGACGATTTTGAGGCCGTTTTGAGCATGTTTATTAGGCCGGATCGATTCATGAAATGTTGAAAATTCAAAATGCGACATCTTGGTATCGATTTGTCTTATCAAAACAAGCACTTTTTGTTCTAGGACCATCCTGGAAAATTCGCTCCTGTTTACCGCGAGCTGAGTCCCCAAATGACGATTTTTTAGAAAATATTGACTTAAATCGACAAAAAA